ATTCTTGGTCACCTTGTAGCCCTTGTTAAGGCCCACGGCCATGGGGTAGCGGATGGCCATGGCTACGGCGCCCGGGCCCGATGGACGCGGATGGACACAGACACACCCGGCCCCACCTGCCCCGCGACGATGGCGCCGCACCGGAAGGAACGAGAGCGCGCAGGACTCTGGGACGGGGCCATTTCCGGCGGCGGGCGGGGCCGAGGGCCCGCGGAGGAAAGGACGGGGGAGACGGCGCCCCCTGGCGGCGCGTCAGGTGTGCTATGCGGGGCTGGGGGATCACCCCGCCGTGGGGTCATTGTGGGTGTGAGGGGACAGCGGGGAACGAGGGGGAATCGCCCCCCCGTGGGGTCATTGTGGGTGTGAGGGGACAGCGGGGAAGAGAGGAGGGTCACCCCGCAGCGGGGGGTCCGGCAGAACTGCTGGTTCCCTCAGCTGTGGACGGGGCCTCGGGGTGCCCGCGCTGCAAGGCCGTACAGCCCTGCACTTACAGGCTTTTCCTCGATAAACTATAACTTTGGTATTGCTTGACCAGGATCTGATAACATTTGACAGACAAACCTAAAGAAAGAGATTAAACGATTTTGTTGGAATAAAAGGTACTGGATTTTCTACCTCTGAAAGAGAACTGAGGTGTACATGTTCAACTCCACTTTTCTGTTTTCAAAGACAGAATTTAATTTGTTGAAATGGAAAATATTTTCTTGAAATTGAAAATCTTGGATTTTAAAACAAATTAAAGAACTTTACATTCTGCTGTAGAGCTTGTCATTTCACGGCTGGTTCCTTTCATCCCAGGGCAGTGGTCCCAGCTCACCAGCTCATAGCTGGACTCTTGTCACCCCCTCATGGCACAGATTCCAACAGAGGAATGTTCGTGCCTTAGGAGGGTGGGACAGATCTGACTCGGATGCCTTGCTCCACAGGAGGGCAGAGTATGAACCGGTGTCTGCGGAGTGGGGGTGATTGTCCTACAAAGGCAGAAGGAACTGCCTTTCTGAAATATTTCTAATGTTTCTGAAAGTCAAGAAAGAAAAATTACGAATGCCATTTTTTTTTTTTTTTTGTCAATCTGCACTTCTAAAATCAGCACCATCTTTGCTACTGAGAACTATTGCACGGGACAGCTGAAGGTCTCCCCATCCAAAAGCTTTGTATTCCTCACAGGAGGAGCTGCCACAGCCCCAGGCTGGAGGAGGTGTCAGCTCCCCTGCTGCCTTTCCTGCCACTGCCGATGTGCATGGAGCTGCCTTAGGATGGCTGCTCACTCACCTCTGAGTGTGCTGAAGAAGGGCCCTCACCTGCTCTGGCTGTGTGACCTCATTAGGTCCTAAAGTGGTCCTAAAATAAATATTTGCTTGGAAGAGGAGGAGGCGGCACCTGCTGCTTCCTTCTGCCTGGTCTGTGAGCACCACCCCACTAGCAGCATCTCTATAGGACTCTTCCCTCTCACACCGACTATTGCTACCTTCCCCTCAGGACATCTTTCCATTCATGCAGAAACATACAGATCTACAGTTCTCAAACTCCCCGTGGGTTTCTCATCATTTGACCTCTCTGTGCTGCACTGGACACCCCCCCAAACTGCACCATTTCCCAGAGGTAAGAGTTCTTGCTGTAATAAATTGAGATGATTCATGCTAACTAAATTGTAACTATTTGGAAAGTTATCATTATAAAGCAATAAAGGGAATTAGTGTTACAAGGCAGATGGACCCCTTTGCAGATACTACATGTTAAAAATAGGATACAGGATGTAGTTTTAAAGATAAGTAATGTCTGAAGACAGAATCGACCTTGAGCTGGACAAAGTTGTAACGACTTCAAGCATAAGGTCTAAAATTATGAAATGCAAGGCTAATTATTGGACTATAATGCTTACTTACATAGCACAATGCTTAGTACGCATGCACAACTTCTAAAGTTATTTAGAGGACAAGGAAGATGAGTGTAAGCCTTCATCCAAAGGCTACCAAAAGAAGACTGAAGACCCCCTAGCAACAAGTGAGGCATGCACTGTGAAGTCTAGTGTCATAGAATTTAAGAATTGAAAGTGGGAGGAAACTTACAAGAAACATTAATGAATCTGTATAAGCATATGGTAAGCATATATAAGTTTAGTTTGAATTGCTTGTTTTGTATGTGAAGTAGGATGAGAAGCCCTCTCTGTACCCCAGCTGGTTTTGCTTATGTTTTAATCAGATTTAATTACTGGCAAATCATATATATATATATATATATATATATATATTCACTAAATTGTATTCATTTATACTAAATTGCTATTCAATTCACTAATTTTTTAAAAAAATTAAATTGCTATTAACTCAATAGACCTAGTTGTCTAATTTCATTCATTCATAACATTGCCTCCTATAGTTGCCTGCACAAGTCCCTAATAGAAAATCCTGGTTTTCAGTTTCCAGAAGCTTTTGCCCCATTCCAACATTGTTAAATGTCGTCTTCTACATTCCCAGCATTTGCAAATGGTTTGCATCTCTCTTGAATCTTTCTTTGGATTCTGCATTACATCTCTTCACTCTTTGACTTACTGCTTTCCTAGAAGCATTACAAGATGTTACCCATCAGGTGAGCCCAAGGACAGGAGGGCATAAAAAAGGTAGGTAAGGTAGAGGAAGCCTTGGGATTGGAGCCGAATCTGAAGCTGGGATGGACTGGTTCTGCTGAGATGGACATGTAGGGCTCAGTGGACCACAAATAGGCTGAACATCTTCAGTGCATCCTGGCTGCTGCAGTGATGTCCTGGGCTGTATGGACAGATGTACCTGGCAGGGGCCAAAAAGGGATTGCTCCCTTTTCCTGGCACTCACTAGATCACACCAGTGGTGCCATGTTCAGGCCTTGCAATACAAAAAAAACTTTGATAAACTAGAATAAATTCAGAAGAAAGCCATGAAGATGTCTGAGGTCTGAAGTAAGAGGAGCAGTGGAAGGAATGAGCCTTTTTCAACCTGGAAGAGAAGTGAGCTGAGATAGATCTAAAACAGCCACCTGAATTTCTGATTAACCAATGGACAACAAGTATAAGAATGATCTATCCCAATGTTGAGCAAGTACAACAGGAGGCCAGACTGACTGAGTGGAAAATTCTGCATCACATTTAAATACAAAAATTAAGAATGTGGGGGGTGGAAGCAGCATCAAAACTACCCAAGAGACATACACAGGCATTGCATGGACATCAGGAACAGAACTGGAAAAGCTAGAGCTCCTCTTTGTCGCCCTGAAAACTCAGCTTCTGAGCTTGCTGACATAGTTTTCTAAGGAGTTTCCCAGGACAGTAACTGTAAACATAGATATGTGTACATTCTTTCTGTTCCACGTCTTGTGATGGGCATCTCTCATGGCCAGTGCAGTGAGAAAGTGTTATCCTGACCATCCAATCCCTGGCTGTGGTCAGAAGCCTACAAATCCTGGGAGGAAAAAACTTTCTCTTCTTTTCACCACACCTCGACCTGTGTCCATGTAATCTATTCATCTTCAGCGGCAACACCTCTTGACCCCGTGAAAAACAATGTTCACTTTTCCTGGTAAATTTTAAATGGTTTAATTAAAAAAAAATAATAATAACAAAAAAAACAAAAAAAAAACCCAATAGGACATAAAAACAATAAAAACAAAAGGTTAAAAAGGCCAAGTGCTTGGCATTCTGCCAAGACTACACCTACTGTCTTGGAGATATCCTTTAAATACCTTTGCCATTACACTAGCCTGTTGCATATTCATAGACCTTCATGCAAATTCAAACTTTTCCACTAACTAGTTTACATTTTCCAGGAACTTTTTAGTATGGCCACTCCTTGGGTCTGCCTTTTCAGAGCATGCATGTTTCTTGGCTTGTGGTTTTAATCCTCTTCTTATCACCTTTCAATATGAGCCTTGGCTCCTTCTTTCCACAGAGAGTAAGAAGCAGGGTCCCCAGTATCTGTTCATTGGGTGTTATCTCAACCAAGCAGACAGTACAAGCATACTATATAAACTATTACTACTATGCCTAAATTTTTGCTAATAGCAGAAATAAAGACTGTATTCATACAGCAAAGTCATTTTAACATTATATATATAACATTCATCCTAATACTTGTGGAAAGCCAATATTATACTATGCATCTATAACAACCTCACCAAAGACCAAGGAAAGAAGCAAAAGTGCAGTACCTTACTCTCCCCTGACTGCTCCGAGGTTATGAAGAGAGCCTGTTTAAGGGTAGGATTTTTCTTTTTTTTTTTATTTTTCTCTCAAGGATTTTTCTCCCATCTGTTGCTAAGAGACAATAACCACCAGGTACTTAAGAGAAAGAAGTAGCCAAGGAGGTGGGGGGAAGAGTGCAGCTGCACTCCAGTAACTGAGGGGACTTTTCTTGGAAGGGCAGAGAAATTATGAGATTTTGGATGAGGGTGAGGGGCTGGGTTGGGCTCAGCTCTTTCTCTCTCTATCTCTCCCCCTCTCTCTCGAAATTAGAGGGAACAGTCAAGCTGCTCCTATCGCTTCCACTATGGTGTCCAGCCCATTACTCTTTTCACCTACCACAAGTGAGACTTTTGCTGATACAAGCAGCCACTGAACTGGGACCATATGAAGACCCTACTTCACTAGAAAGAGCCCTCACCATCTACTCGGCTGCCTCAGGGGAAATCCCGGGATCCCCAAGACCCCTCTGCCTCCTGCTGGCTGTGAGCGGAACTGCACCAACAGGGAAAGTGGCCGCGAGAAGGCCGGGACCGGGTCTGTGGTTCTGGCTGGGACCGGGTCTGAGGTTCTGGCTGGGACCGGGTCTGAGGTTCTGGCCGGGACCGGGTCTGAGGTTCTGGCTGGGACCGGGGCTGTGATTCTGGCCGGGACCGGGTCTGAGGTTCTGGCTGGGACCGGGTCTGTGGTTCTGGCTGGGACCGGGGCTGAGGTTCTGGCCGGGACCGGGTCTGAGGTTTTGGCTGTCACGGGGTCTGTGGTTCTGGCTGGTACCGGGTCTGTGGTTCTGTTTGTTGTTGCTGCCATTGTTGTTTGTTTGCCTTGTTATAGACATATACATATTGTTAAAGAACTGTTATTCCTTTTCCCATATTTTTGCCCAAAAGCCCCGTAATTTCAAAGTTATAATTTGAAGGGAAGGGGGTCATATACTCTATCCCAAAGACATTCCTGCCTTCCTTGGCAGACACCTGTCTTTCAAACCAAGACATAGCACATGCTAAAAAGAGCCCTGTCTGTAACACAGGAGCCACAGAGAAGCTTCCTGCAGTACAGCTCATTCACAGTGTTCCCCAGGTGCAGGAGGAGGTGTATGGTAGCATACACCAGGCTTCAGGGTATCATTACCTATGTGTCTCACCCTCACTGGCTCCCCAGGATTCAAGAATTCTTCCAAACTATTAGGAAAATAAATTTATTGGCAGTTGAATACCGTGAAAGCACCACTGAGAACAGATGATCTGTCCAGGTAGGAAAAATGCCACTGTTTCCTTCCAATCAGACTGTGGCAGCCTGTGGAGCCAGAACCCTGGGCATGCCTTGTGTAGAGTAGCTGCTGTTTAAAGAGATAAATACTAATATTACTCTATATTACTCTGTATACTCTAAGGAAGGGATTATTCACATCACTCTCAATGAAATATTGGGCCAATAATCTCTAACACTGTGAGTTTTGTCTTTCACATACAGAGATGGATTTTATTCTCGTTAGACTTTCTGGGATCCAACTGTCAGTGTAGCCCCAATTCTCAGCAAACTGTGGAGTTCAGGTTCCCTCATCTCATGTGCAAAAATCCTAATTGTTTATCCATTTGGTAGTTTGGAGAGCACAGTGAAGGAGAGTGGGGCCTGGCTCTGAATGCAGTTCCTCTGAGTTCAAAAAGCTTGGTTATCAGCCCAGAGCAATTCCAGGTCTTCTCCAAGAATCACTTAAATCATTGCTGCACCAGTGGAGCTGTGGGAGGGGAGCATGCAACGCTCATACCCCTGCACTATTATTATATATAAAGCCTGGCACTCATCTGCATGCTAATAAAAACAAACCCAAGTTTTTTTCAAAACAACCATTGGTGCTTAATTTTCAAATCTGCAGCCCAAATGCAGTTGGCTAGGTGCCCACCATCATAGAGTTATTTACATATTTTCCTCCAGCAGCTGCAGTAATTTGTTCTCTTCCTCATGCCTGGCTAGGCTGGCTCAGCCTTTGTCATGGTCTCACTGGAGAGAAATACTTTGGTCTAATGCTATTAAACAAAAAAACAAATCAGTTCCTAGTGGAGTTCAGTTTTTAGTGAAGAAAGTCAAAGTAGAAACCTTTGGCTCCACTTTGAAAGAGAATTATCTACTTATCCCATCATGTACTGTAACATGCTACATGTGTTTGGCAGTGCTGATTCCTTAATCCAGAGGTTCTGTCAAAGTTAAAGTTTACAGAGTAAAACATATGTGACAAGGAAGAAGATGGGCCTAGGGAGATAATGAGGTATGTGCATGGGATCAGTCTCTCTTGGACATATTGAATGAATAATCAAGGAGATTAAAGGAATGCTTTCTGCAACTCCAAAGTGTGCTCCACCCAAGATCTCAAAGTATTTAACAAGGGATAATTCATTAAGCTGTATAATGATCTTGAAACAGAACTAGATGACTATGAAGATTATTCAGTTAATACCTATATGTTTAGAGTGTCATGGAGTAGCTCTTTGAAACTGGCTTTCAGGTCGCAGAATAATAGGGAATAATAGAAGAATAGAATAGAATAGAATAGAATAGAATAGAATAGAATAGAATAGACCTTAAAGCTCATCTTGTTCCAACTGCCTGCCATGGGCAGGGACACCTTCTACGTTCCATAGGTTGCTCTGAGTTCTGTCCAGCCTGGCCTTGGACACTTCCAGGGGCAGCCACAGCTGCTCTAGGCAACCTGTGTCTGGGCCTCACCACCCTCATAAGGAAGAATTCCTTCCCAATATCCCATCTAACCCTGCCCTCTGGCAGTGGGAAGGCATTCCCCCTTGTCCACTCCCTTGTCCAAAGTCTCTCTCCATCTCTCTTGGAGCCCTTTTAGGGGCTGTCAATACATCTCTCTCATTGGAAAACATTTTTCCAGTCCACAGCTGGGGACAACAGCAAAGTGATGGAGCACTGCCTCAGTTAACACTTGTGTTGGAGCTGCACATCCTTATAGAACAGCTCTGGCTAACCAGGGACCTACAACAGGAAGCCATTTGCTGTCCTGAGTTTGGTACAGTCAGGAGAGACCCAGCCCTGCCCCATTCTCTTGCAGCCTGTGCTCTGTACTGAATTTTGAATGCCACCAGTATCATATTACTTTTTTCTTTACCACCATCACACTGAGCATGCATGTGGGTAGGCAGGTGCAAGAATCAGGTGTTTAGGGCAGCCATGAAAGAGATTTGCTTGGATGGAGTAAACGGGCAGGAGCTACAGCAAATGAGGAAAAGCTTTTGTTTGATGGTGATATTTGCAGGCTTCCTCTGTACTGCTGTCGTGGTTTTAAAGCAGTAACTAAAAAAATTACTAGAAAACTTACTTATTTCTTGCTGTGAGATATGGATTAGAACAAGAGCAAAACAGGCTTAAAACTTAAAAGAAATAAAGAAAGTTTATTAATAAAAACTGTAAGAATAAGAACACCAGAATAAAACTTCCAGAAAACCCTTTTCTCCCCTACTACCCAACCATTCTCTTGTTCACATGAAAACATAGAGACAAAGAAACTTTGGTGTTTAAAACAGTCCTAATTCTTGATAGTGTCTTTTCATCACCCTTTGTAGAGAAACAGAAGTCTTCTTCTGCTAATCTATGGAGTTTCTCACATGAAAACATTTTCTGTTATAGCTTTCTATTTCTCTGATGCCAGCTGCCCAGAAATCCTGTCATCAGTTCACTCCTCCCATTTCACATCACTCTGAGGTGTGTATGGGTCAATGAGTCTAGGGATGTCATTTTTAAGGATGAGTTATTCAAAGGCAAAAGTTCTTTTCATCTGTCTCTGTGAGCTTCCCTGGAAACAGAAGTTTTCTCTTTGCCTCTCAAGGCCCCAAATCTTCAGCTATTACTTCTGCCCGCTCTGTTCCAGCACCTCATTGTATCACAATTACTCCACCTTTTGCTCAAAATCCACACTTTGAACACTCTATTCCTCCCAATATACTCTGTCATGAATTAAAGAAGCTTTTTTTCAGAAAGCTATTGTCCATCTCCATAGCTTTAACAGAAAAATATTTAATCTTAATTAAAGCATCTCCTTATTCTCTCTTCCTCATCTCAAACTTAACTCTTTTCTTCACTGTCTTTGATGGTTTTATGATGTCTTCTTCATGTTGATTATTTCTCTCTCTCTCTTCCTTCTCTCTCTCTGGGAAAAAGGAGTAATCTGTAAATCTCATCGAGGTAGTAAAAGAGTTAAAGTCTTGGAAAGCTGCAGATGTTCATGGTGTCAGGTTTCAGTTCAGCAGCAGAAACTGCAAACCAAGCCAGGCTGGCCGGCTCCGTTTCTCCCCCCACCCTCTGTGGCCTTGTCTGGCCTGGAGGGTGGGGAGGAGGCTGAGACAGAGCCTGTTACCTCGTCAGAAGCCAGAAACCAAAGAGAACAAAAGAACCCTGGCTTTACATCTTAAGGTGGTGTTCACAAGTTGATCTCACTTCTCAATGGTTAAAACCACCGCCAATTCTCAGAAATGACCAATAATTGGTCAGAGGAAAAACTCTTATCAGTCTCTCGCAGCTTCAACTTCCTCCCAGCTCCCGAAGCTATCTTAAAGGTAAAATCACCCCAGGACAACTGT